ACAGGCTGATTTTCATGATCAATGATATGATCCAAGCGTGTCTGCATATCACTGTTCGCAGGTGTGTCCCGAATGGCCCCTGTGATGATCAAGCGTCAGTTGGACGAAGAGCTGGGCGGACTCGAGAGCGGCTTACAATCCACACGATCTGGGGAGAAACCCATCGATATCAGCGTCTCGCGGTCGCTCATGTTAAAGGAGTGAGTGGTAGATGGAGAAAGAGATAGCTTTGTAGCGACATGCCGCCTTATATTTCTATAGGCAGCGCATTTCGATCGGACTATGAGCTCGGCCAACCCTGGGCGCTATGGCCAACAAAGCGACTCACTTTTGACATTCGACCACCTGGTCTGTACACGGCCTCGAAGATAGCCAAGGAGAGCTTATTGGATCTTTTGAAGAATTTTACGTGCACTGAAGCGATTGTTGCAATTTCAAGCCTTTTTTCTTAACCTGTGCGCTTGTGTTTTCACCTACGCTGGTTTCGACGGAAAATTGACCAAAACTCCACTATAGCCCGAGATGTTTCGAGTAGCCAGAGTGACATCAAATTCATGCTCCAACATAGGGAGTATCTGGAGGACACCCTGCTTGGCTCGAGGCTTTAGTTCACCGGCCGTGGGTCGAACCAAAAAGTTGATGCCCACTATTGTGGCCAATACATCACCAAGACAGCTATCGTCAGATGCTTCTCCGCCCTCTCCTGGAGCTACAACCTCCACGCAAGAGGAGAGGACAGCAAAAACCGAGAAGCGCCCTCCCGTTGCATGGCCACAAAGACCAGGGCAAGACCCCAGTGAACTTACAGCACACCTGAAAAAGACTGCAATCCAGTATCCTTACTCTGTACCGCGGAACTCGAATGGATGTGTACCCGTGTATTCAGACTTTAAGAACAACCGGACAAAAGAACTTACTCTGATCCGAAATGTAGAAGGAAATGTGCAGGTGAGGATTTACTACATACACTTTCATTGTTCTATGAGCCCTCACTTGAAACCTGTGCACTGACACTTTTTGCCAAGGCACTCAAAGATGACCTGGTCGCAACACTGTTCCCAGACACTCGCAACAACAGGTTTATGAATCACCGACTAGCAACTAATATCAGAGTGCACCACAATCGGCATGTTATAATACAGGGTGGTCAATGGGCAAAGCAGGTCCAAAAATGGCTTTTGGCTAGAGGATTCTAGCAAACCCCTATCGCCCTATCTATTGTCATGTATATCCTTTCTATAATACTTTCTCGTGCATCAATTCTTGTTTGGAAAAATTTGTCCGCGCAAAGTCGAGTCTGTGAGGGTCGTCTGATTGCGATCGGGTTGTACATAATCGTTATACCCGATAGGTCGGATTAGTAAGAGCGCTATTTTCTTGTCAAATTGTCAGATGTGTATACGAGAGCGCTAGGCGATAAGATCCGCTGGTGATTACGCCCGAACCCCCCTTCACCCCTTGCCGACTACTTATTCTGCTGACTCGTCAAACAGCTCCTTGGGCCCCCAAAAGTCTTTCATCCCATCCCAGTAGACATTAAAAGCACAATAAACGTCTCAGGCGCGAACAGGATTTGTAAAGTAAGCTATTCCTGATACTCCACCGTAAAAATAGTTTACCTAATGACGATAGAAATCACATTCTCTACGTTGATAGAAAGACGAAACCCTTGAAAACAGTTCAAAATGTCTAACACGAACGGTATTTTGCCTGTAACCTCTTCCTCTCAACCCCTTGTCGTTGGTTCGAGATCCGCCGCTGCGGCCAGAAGCGATGGTGCTACAGGAGGCAACGTAGGAACGTTTGGAGTAAGCAAATAATATTACAGTAACGAAAATCTCACTGCGATCAACTAAACTGGCCTTAGGTCAAGAGTGGCTTGGCCCAAATGCTAAAGGTGAGTTCTTCGACAATGGCGAATGCATTCACTCAATGGGGATTAGGGTGGCGTTATCATGGATGTCATCAATGCAGAGCAGGTCAGTGGTATCACAGATACATCAAATACATATCTGACTGGTGTCAATGAAGGCGAGAATAGCTGAAGAAGCTGGTGCTTGTGCTGTCATGGCTCTGGAGCGAGTCCCAGCGGATATTCGAAAGGAAGGAGGCGTCGCCCGTATGGTTGGTACCAAGTTCATAGGACTCAAGGGTCCATCTGAATATTCCTTCAGAGCGACCCACAGATGATCAAGGAGATTGTCGATGCAGTGACCATTCCCGTCATGGCCAAGTGCCGCATTGGCCACTTTGTCGAAGCTCAGGTAAATCCACTTCTATTCGCTAACTTTGGTAATACTAAGCACTGTCTCTAGATTCTGCAAGCCATCGGGGTTGACTACATTGACGAATCCGAAGTATTGACACCTGCTGATGAGCAGCACCACATCAACAAACACGGATTCAAGGTGCCCTTCGTCTGCGGAGCCAAGAATTTGGGTGAAGCTCTCCGACGTATCTCAGAAGGAGCTGCGTTCATTCGTACAAAGGGTGAAGCTGGCACAGGTAAGTTTGTTCAACTCGTCAAGAAAAGTGTTTCACCCTATATCGTAGGGAATGTGGTCGAAGCCGTAAGGCACTGTCGTACCGTCAATGCGGAGATCCGCAGGGCTAGTGCAATGGGAGAGGAGGAGCTCTTTGCATACGCAAAAGAGATTGGTGCACCCTATCATCTCCTCAAAGAGACCGCACGTCTCAAGAAATTGCCCGTGGTCAATTTTGCCGCAGGTGGAGTGGCTACTCCTGGTTCGTGTCCACTTCTGCCGTAAAAGAGGCCTCAATATTAACGTCATCCTCCATAGCCGATGCAGCTCTTATGATGCAATTGGGTTGCGACGGAGGTATGTTCTGGCCGTATTCCGTAACCTGACGCACTCTCATGGTCTTTTCCAGTATTTGTAGGGTCTGGAATTTTCCTGGTAAGCTAAAAATAATCATATTCAGGAATCGAACCATACTGATACCATCCTCCTGACAGTCCGGTGATCCCGCGAAACGCGCTAGAGCAATTGTGCAAGCCGTGACGCACTATAACGATCCCAAGATTCTTTCAGAAGTTTCAGAGAATTTAGGCCCGGCTATGGTGGGACTTTCTATGTAAGTGATACTACCAGGGCTGTGGCCTTAGCACGAGAATCTCTGACACGTCTTGAACAGCAAGGAAGATATGCAAGGAGGTTTGATGGCCGGCAGAGGCTGGTAAATCCAGTAAAGGTTATTAATCCTAATAATGGAGGTTATTTTGGCTCTCTAACCCAATGTTCTTATCAATCGAGCTACATATTCTGGTGCACGCGAAAAGTTAGCGCAGTAGCATAGCTACAGACACTTATTCACTTGAATGTCGCCATTTCACTTGACGTTTTGGTTGTTTTTAGCGAATGTAAACCTTATTCAGAGTAAACGAAGCCTGAGTCAAACAAGGCCGTCTGAAAAGCGAGTTCGCCTGCCAACTTGGTGGGATTGACCTTTAGAAGCCAAGTTTGCTTTTGAACAAAAATAGTTTCGCCCTAGATTATCGAGGGTCCATAGTCAAAACGGGCAGCTATTGACGGTTGTTCTTGAAATTGAGTTCAAAATTCAATTTTGTCGGAGAGGTGGCAAGCGGCTGTTAGTCTCCAAACGTTTTGTCTCTCGCCTACGCCAACGCTTTCACCATAATCCGTAAATACCCCCCTCCACCGACTTGTACGGAGAACTTAGGAGCCGTTAACTGGTTTTCGGTCTCTATCCCAGTCGGTCGGACGACCAAGAAGGGGCGCTAGCCTAGATATGATTGCTATCACCTCACCGTCACCCTCTCCACCAACTAGTCAAGTCTCTCCAGCATCCAATTCAGTTTCCATGGCGTCAGAGGCCCTAAATGAGGAGACTTCGCTCACTAGGAATACCTCTGTCATCAGTACCGCATCCTCTTCGTCCAGTTCATCATCATCCGTTGCTCCTCCCCCTCGACCCAGACCCATCAGGACATATACTGGCCCCCAAGCAAAGAATGTAGCGGACGGGCTTCCTGCAAGTCCAACCACTCCGAAGGCCACTCAAAGGAACTTTGAGGATTACCTACTCAGCGGTACACCTCCAGGAAGGAGCAGTCCTGCGTTGAATAGCGTGAATGCACAGATAGCTCACTCTATTGTCCACAGTGCGAATGGCCTAGCTGTACCCACCCCCATACCACTTAACAATCTCACGAGCGGCCTCTCCACTCCTATTATGGTACCCTCTCCCGGCACCTCTACTCCGAATGGAAGTAGAAGTAGACATGCTAGTCAATCGAACTCTGCGCAAAACTATCGTTTTGAGGGTCTTTTAGGAGAAGGATCATACTCCACAGTACGTTTCCATTTGATTGGATGATCACAACGCCCACAACTCTTCTCTGATCGTTATGAACTTGTTTGCCACGTCGTTACACAACTAATTCCTTTTTAACCCAATCAGGTTCACCGAGCAACATCTCTCGTCAATGGTCAGACCTACGCAATCAAGATCATGATTAAAGTACAGCTACAGAGGGAGAACAAGGTTAGATATGCCAATACCGAGCGTACAATCATGTCCAAGTTGGGAGCTGCAAACCACCCTGGGATTATTCGTCTTTATTCCGCTTTCCAAGACAAGGACCATCTTTGTGCGTAGGTTAAGCACCTGGCCCTGTGGAGATATTCATTTTCCTTCAGACTTTGTTATGGAACTTGCTCCGAAAGGCGAATTATTTTCTCAAATCCGACGACTGGGGTCCTTCAACATCGAGTGTACCCGGTACTATGCCGCAGTGATCCTGGACGCCGTCTCCTTCATTCATAGCATGAATATAATACATCGGGACTTGAAGCCCGAGAATATCTTATTGGACGCGAACATGCGGATCAGGATCACTGACTTTGGTTCAGCCAAGGATAAGTCAATTGCGGTCATCACCACTAGTGGTCAGTTTGAGAGTCCAAGCGGTATATCGAAGTACTTATATGAATCCAATAGAGCAAGCAAGGAAGGGTTCATTTGTTGGGACACCTGAATATGCCTCTCCCGAAATGTTGGTGCCTCCCACCATCACTACCCGAGCCTCTGATATTTGGGCGTATGGGTGCATCGTTTTCCAGTTTATTTCAGGTCGTCCACCCTTCAAGGGAGGTACCGCTTACTTAACTATGAAGAAGATTCAAGAGTGCGACTACTCTTTCCCAGACGACTTCGATCCCGTGATCAGGACGCTTGTGGAACGTTGTTTAGTCAACAATCCTACCGTTAGGATTACCAGTGGGGAGCTCAGGGACCATTCATTCTTCAGTTCTGTCGATTGGGATACGTTATGGAAGCAAACACCTCCAACCCTCCAACATAGGGAGTATCTGGAGGACACCCTGCTTGGCTCGAGGCTTTAGTTCACCGGCCGTGGGTCGAACCAAAAAGTTGATGCCCACTATTGTGGCCAATACATCACCAAGACAGCTATCGTCAGATGCTTCTCCGCCCTCTCCTGGAGCTACAACCTCCACGCAAGAGGAGAGGACAGCAAAAACCGAGAAGCGCCCTCCCGTTGCATGGCCACAAAGACCAGGGCAAGACCCCAGTGAACTTACAGCACACCTGAAAAAGACTGCAATCCAGTATCCTTACTCTGTACCGCGGAACTCGAATGGATGTGTACCCGTGTATTCAGACTTTAAGAACAACCGGACAAAAGAACTTACTCTGATCCGAAATGTAGAAGGAAATGTGCAGGTGAGGATTTACTACATACACTTTCATTGTTCTATGAGCCCTCACTTGAAACCTGTGCACTGACACTTTTTGCCAAGGCACTCAAAGATGACCTGGTCGCAACACTGTTCCCAGACACTCGCAACAACAGGTTTATGAATCACCGACTAGCAACTAATATCAGAGTGCACCACAATCGGCATGTTATAATACAGGGTGGTCAATGGGCAAAGCAGGTCCAAAAATGGCTTTTGGCTAGAGGATTCTAGCAAACCCCTATCGCCCTATCTATTGTCATGTATATCCTTTCTATAATACTTTCTCGTGCATCAATTCTTGTTTGGAAAAATTTGTCCGCGCAAAGTCGAGTCTGTGAGGGTCGTCTGATTGCGATCGGGTTGTACATAATCGTTATACCCGATAGGTCGGATTAGTAAGAGCGCTATTTTCTTGTCAAATTGTCAGATGTGTATACGAGAGCGCTAGGCGATAAGATCCGCTGGTGATTACGCCCGAACCCCCCTTCACCCCTTGCCGACTACTTATTCTGCTGACTCGTCAAACAGCTCCTTGGGCCCCCAAAAGTCTTTCATCCCATCCCAGTAGACATTAAAAGCACAATAAACGTCTCAGGCGCGAACAGGATTTGTAAAGTAAGCTATTCCTGATACTCCACCGTAAAAATAGTTTACCTAATGACGATAGAAATCACATTCTCTACGTTGATAGAAAGACGAAACCCTTGAAAACAGTTCAAAATGTCTAACACGAACGGTATTTTGCCTGTAACCTCTTCCTCTCAACCCCTTGTCGTTGGTTCGAGATCCGCCGCTGCGGCCAGAAGCGATGGTGCTACAGGAGGCAACGTAGGAACGTTTGGAGTAAGCAAATAATATTACAGTAACGAAAATCTCACTGCGATCAACTAAACTGGCCTTAGGTCAAGAGTGGCTTGGCCCAAATGCTAAAGGTGAGTTCTTCGACAATGGCGAATGCATTCACTCAATGGGGATTAGGGTGGCGTTATCATGGATGTCATCAATGCAGAGCAGGTCAGTGGTATCACAGATACATCAAATACATATCTGACTGGTGTCAATGAAGGCGAGAATAGCTGAAGAAGCTGGTGCTTGTGCTGTCATGGCTCTGGAGCGAGTCCCAGCGGATATTCGAAAGGAAGGAGGCGTCGCCCGTATGGTTGGTACCAAGTTCATAGGACTCAAGGGTCCATCTGAATATTCCTTCAGAGCGACCCACAGATGATCAAGGAGATTGTCGATGCAGTGACCATTCCCGTCATGGCCAAGTGCCGCATTGGCCACTTTGTCGAAGCTCAGGTAAATCCACTTCTATTCGCTAACTTTGGTAATACTAAGCACTGTCTCTAGATTCTGCAAGCCATCGGGGTTGACTACATTGACGAATCCGAAGTATTGACACCTGCTGATGAGCAGCACCACATCAACAAACACGGATTCAAGGTGCCCTTCGTCTGCGGAGCCAAGAATTTGGGTGAAGCTCTCCGACGTATCTCAGAAGGAGCTGCGTTCATTCGTACAAAGGGTGAAGCTGGCACAGGTAAGTTTGTTCAACTCGTCAAGAAAAGTGTTTCACCCTATATCGTAGGGAATGTGGTCGAAGCCGTAAGGCACTGTCGTACCGTCAATGCGGAGATCCGCAGGGCTAGTGCAATGGGAGAGGAGGAGCTCTTTGCATACGCAAAAGAGATTGGTGCACCCTATCATCTCCTCAAAGAGACCGCACGTCTCAAGAAATTGCCCGTGGTCAATTTTGCCGCAGGTGGAGTGGCTACTCCTGGTTCGTGTCCACTTCTGCCGTAAAAGAGGCCTCAATATTAACGTCATCCTCCATAGCCGATGCAGCTCTTATGATGCAATTGGGTTGCGACGGAGGTATGTTCTGGCCGTATTCCGTAACCTGACGCACTCTCATGGTCTTTTCCAGTATTTGTAGGGTCTGGAATTTTCCTGGTAAGCTAAAAATAATCATATTCAGGAATCGAACCATACTGATACCATCCTCCTGACAGTCCGGTGATCCCGCGAAACGCGCTAGAGCAATTGTGCAAGCCGTGACGCACTATAACGATCCCAAGATTCTTTCAGAAGTTTCAGAGAATTTAGGCCCGGCTATGGTGGGACTTTCTATGTAAGTGATACTACCAGGGCTGTGGCCTTAGCACGAGAATCTCTGACACGTCTTGAACAGCAAGGAAGATATGCAAGGAGGTTTGATGGCCGGCAGAGGCTGGTAAATCCAGTAAAGGTTATTAATCCTAATAATGGAGGTTATTTTGGCTCTCTAACCCAATGTTCTTATCAATCGAGCTACATATTCTGGTGCACGCGAAAAGTTAGCGCAGTAGCATAGCTACAGACACTTATTCACTTGAATGTCGCCATTTCACTTGACGTTTTGGTTGTTTTTAGCGAATGTAAACCTTATTCAGAGTAAACGAAGCCTGAGTCAAACAAGGCCGTCTGAAAAGCGAGTTCGCCTGCCAACTTGGTGGGATTGACCTTTAGAAGCCAAGTTTGCTTTTGAACAAAAATAGTTTCGCCCTAGATTATCGAGGGTCCATAGTCAAAACGGGCAGCTATTGACGGTTGTTCTTGAAATTGAGTTCAAAATTCAATTTTGTCGGAGAGGTGGCAAGCGGCTGTTAGTCTCCAAACGTTTTGTCTCTCGCCTACGCCAACGCTTTCACCATAATCCGTAAATACCCCCCTCCACCGACTTGTACGGAGAACTTAGGAGCCGTTAACTGGTTTTCGGTCTCTATCCCAGTCGGTCGGACGACCAAGAAGGGGCGCTAGCCTAGATATGATTGCTATCACCTCACCGTCACCCTCTCCACCAACTAGTCAAGTCTCTCCAGCATCCAATTCAGTTTCCATGGCGTCAGAGGCCCTAAATGAGGAGACTTCGCTCACTAGGAATACCTCTGTCATCAGTACCGCATCCTCTTCGTCCAGTTCATCATCATCCGTTGCTCCTCCCCCTCGACCCAGACCCATCAGGACATATACTGGCCCCCAAGCAAAGAATGTAGCGGACGGGCTTCCTGCAAGTCCAACCACTCCGAAGGCCACTCAAAGGAACTTTGAGGATTACCTACTCAGCGGTACACCTCCAGGAAGGAGCAGTCCTGCGTTGAATAGCGTGAATGCACAGATAGCTCACTCTATTGTCCACAGTGCGAATGGCCTAGCTGTACCCACCCCCATACCACTTAACAATCTCACGAGCGGCCTCTCCACTCCTATTATGGTACCCTCTCCCGGCACCTCTACTCCGAATGGAAGTAGAAGTAGACATGCTAGTCAATCGAACTCTGCGCAAAACTATCGTTTTGAGGGTCTTTTAGGAGAAGGATCATACTCCACAGTACGTTTCCATTTGATTGGATGATCACAACGCCCACAACTCTTCTCTGATCGTTATGAACTTGTTTGCCACGTCGTTACACAACTAATTCCTTTTTAACCCAATCAGGTTCACCGAGCAACATCTCTCGTCAATGGTCAGACCTACGCAATCAAGATCATGATTAAAGTACAGCTACAGAGGGAGAACAAGGTTAGATATGCCAATACCGAGCGTACAATCATGTCCAAGTTGGGAGCTGCAAACCACCCTGGGATTATTCGTCTTTATTCCGCTTTCCAAGACAAGGACCATCTTTGTGCGTAGGTTAAGCACCTGGCCCTGTGGAGATATTCATTTTCCTTCAGACTTTGTTATGGAACTTGCTCCGAAAGGCGAATTATTTTCTCAAATCCGACGACTGGGGTCCTTCAACATCGAGTGTACCCGGTACTATGCCGCAGTGATCCTGGACGCCGTCTCCTTCATTCATAGCATGAATATAATACATCGGGACTTGAAGCCCGAGAATATCTTATTGGACGCGAACATGCGGATCAGGATCACTGACTTTGGTTCAGCCAAGGATAAGTCAATTGCGGTCATCACCACTAGTGGTCAGTTTGAGAGTCCAAGCGGTATATCGAAGTACTTATATGAATCCAATAGAGCAAGCAAGGAAGGGTTCATTTGTTGGGACACCTGAATATGCCTCTCCCGAAATGTTGGTGCCTCCCACCATCACTACCCGAGCCTCTGATATTTGGGCGTATGGGTGCATCGTTTTCCAGTTTATTTCAGGTCGTCCACCCTTCAAGGGAGGTACCGCTTACTTAACTATGAAGAAGATTCAAGAGTGCGACTACTCTTTCCCAGACGACTTCGATCCCGTGATCAGGACGCTTGTGGAACGTTGTTTAGTCAACAATCCTACCGTTAGGATTACCAGTGGGGAGCTCAGGGACCATTCATTCTTCAGTTCTGTCGATTGGGATACGTTATGGAAGCAAACACCTCCAACCCTTCAACACGGTCTCGTAATAGCGTTCGAAACTGTAGGGATATACAGCACGAAGGCGTCCGTGCGCGAATCACCGAGATTCTGCACCGAATCACCAAATTTCGTGAAGAACATTCGACATTTCTTGTCATCCTAATAGTTAATGTGAAAATCGATAGATTATGACGTTGCTGAACATATTCTTCCTCCTTTCCATATAGGGTATTATGCAGGACTGCCTTTCTGATCCTCCATCGAGCTTGTCAACATCTCTATCCAAGACTTTGCCACGGCTGAAGATTCGACATTGTAGACCGATACCCTTTCTCCGAAATAGATAGCAAACGCGGTATCACCCTTGGCTTCAACGTTGGTGATTGCGTTTGTACGATCCGCTGGGGTGTGGCTCGTAGAAGAGGACGGTGTAGGTTGATTAGGGGTTTGCCCAGATGATAAGATGTTGGGTAAGGCAGAGGTGATTGAATTACCACTGGGTAGAGATATCCCTATGATAGAAGATCGTTTGGATGGCGAAGATGAGGCAGCATTAGATGAGGCAGCAGTTGAAATGCTGCCTTGGGGATCCGAAGTGATCATGGACGATACTTTGTCTCCAGTTTGTACTTTCTCCATATCTCTAGACGAGATGGACTTGAGAACGAGTTCCTCTTCCAACTGAGCCTTCTTTCGGCCCGTTGAAGATTTCAGCTCTTTGATACAGACCAGGCGACCCTCGGATGTAAGCACTAATGAACGGCGACGTTGCTTGGCCGGTAAGATACCGCGCTTTAGTTTGGTTGTGACGGGGGTTTGGAAAACCACCGTCTCAAAGGGACGGAGCATTGGTTGACTATTGGGCTGGTCAATGGAAATTCCCCATATCGTCCGTAAACCATATCATGCTCACCCATTGGTATAGATCCAATTCGTCTTGGATGCCGAGCCCTCTGTAAAGGAACCACCGCCTAATTCGACGCCCTTTCCCCCACGGACTACTTCAAAGCCTCTCGATGATGATGAGACACTAGTCCCGTTGTTGAAATTTCCAGAAGACCTTGAAGCAGCCGAAGTACCCGAAGTCGACATCAGGGTAGTATCCATGCTAGAGCTGAGTGATAGTCCCTTGGCATGCCCAGGGTGAGGATGAAGCATATCGTCTTTCCTCTTCATAGAGGTACTTTGAAGTTCGTCTTGCTCTGAAGTAGACGGTGGACCTTCTCCTGAACCCATTTCGGATGTGTCGTCCTCTTCTTCCTCTGGTAGTCTCTGTGGATTGACACGCGGTCTGCCTTCCAACGAAGAGGGAGACTCCCGCCTAGGACGAGTGATGAATTCAGTGTTAAGACTCGCCCTTCTTATTTTGTGTCTTGGGTCATCCAACGGAGAGAGCGTAGTCCCGGTGACCGCGGAGGTGGCAACCGGCGTTCTCTCTACATCAGATGGATGTGAAAATCTCCTTCCCTTCTTCTTTCCGTCTGAAGGGACATTTGAAGCTTGTAGCCCTTGGAGAGGCCCT